GGCTGCTTATCAAGCACAGCAGGTACTGACATTTCTATCTAAAAGGCAGTATTAGTCTTCACAGCTTCTGACCAGGGCACCTCCAAATTGGAACAGTTGTTAGAAGCCAGGTAACACAAACYGCTGAAAAAAAATGCAAGGAACTTCTCAAACTAAAGCAACAACAAAAAAAGAGGAAGGAAAGAAAAAATATTAAGATGACCAAAATGCTTTTATTTTCTGACAATACTATGCAAAGATGCACAAGCTAAACATTTGCTTATTCACATTTCACTGCTTGCATTATACAATGAATTAAAAACTTAACTTACTCTTCCAGTAATGGAAAATAAACCAAGAACTCAGGAACATCAACCACTTCTTCTAAGTGGAAGTCATACTTGCAGCCAAACAAGGGATAATCTCCCTTCTTTTCAAATTTTACACTGTAAACATCATTCCCAAATGAATTTGTTTCTGAAGCTTCAAGTCGTTTTCTATAAAATGAGACATAAACACATAGTAACTGACTGACCAAATTTTAAATTTTACAAACACAGAAATAAYGCGAGTGACACAAAATATTTTTTATACTGCTACACATGAGAGTTCAGTGATTGCTATACCTTCCCAAACCCCTTAATAAACAAGGCATCAAAACAGCAGTTTTAAGTAAGGAAGTATATTAGTTTTTAASAGTCATCATTCCCACACAATGTACCAAACGTTAAATGGACCTAGAAATTAACCTTCAGCTCATGTAGTTTATAGAGAAAAGGCTTTCTTGCAACTACCATAGSAAAGCCCTCAGAGTTATTCTTAAGTTTGTAGCTATTCTATCACAATTTCAGGTCAATACAGATCTATACAAGAGGCTCTAGACTCATCCCTGAAAATCCCTGGGTGAGTACAGCTTCACCTATTTCATCCAAGCTCATGTGTGAGATTTCCTAACTAGGAAAAAAAAAAAAAAAAAAAAAAAAAAAAGTGGGGTTATTTGGCACAAGCATATCGAAGCACGGTAAGAATGACTATCACTTAATGACATTTCAAAAACATTTAAAAGAGTACTAGAAAATGAAAGTACTTACATAAGCTCAAAGCTATTTGGAGTGGTGCCAATAAAATACCCSCCAGGAGAGAGGTTCCCACAAGCATTTTTAAGCATCATGTCAGCCTGCTCATATGTCTCAAATGAATAATGGTAAACAAATTGACAGCTGCAAATGTCAAAGAGCATATATGGATCATCATATTTGGCAGACAGGAGATCCTAAAAGGGATTAAAAAAAAAAAAAAAAAGTGCCAGGAGCTAAAGAAACAAGCATGAATCACTTAACTCTTCCAAAAAAACACACTCGACCATAATCTTTTGAAATTTTTCATTCCAGTTCCCACAGTTTCTACAAGGATACAATCAGAGATGAGATTARGGCATTCAGGGCTACACAGAAAACCATGCATTACATTTGGGAGCAGTAAGAATACACAGATACATTTCTAAGTTATCATTTCCTCAACACTCTTTTGAAGTGATAACTGCATTTCTGTATGTGACAGGTCAAAAGGAAACTAATGGCTATTTAATAGTCTCCAAAAACATTCTTATACTAAAAWGAAACTTCTACTTTCAAAACCTTGTCACTAGAAGTGACATTTCTCTTGTTCAGATAATACTCATAGAACATACAAGCGGGTGGCATTAAATACAGCATTTTGCCCAGTCTCCAAGTTTTATTTCTCTCACACACACGCATACACTTGAGCTCCCTTGCTTAGTCCCGGTAACCAGCAATGGTGGAGGAGGTAGTCTTGGATATGGTCAGGTTAAAGCTTGTATTCCAGCACTGCATACTAGCGTACCAGTTCACACCACATCCCCCACTCTGTATGCAGCAAGTCAAAACCAGATACTTCACATTCCCATAGTAATTTTATTTGCTCATTTACTCCTGCCTCTACCGCTAGAGAGAGAAATAGAGGAAACTGGTATACAGAGGGAAGTAACTACAGAAGTTGCGAGAGGGAGATTTTGCATTGTGTGCACATGAGGTRAGGGTAGAGATACAAAGTCAGGCAAATGAACCTGCGTGTGTACGGAGAGACAGAGGAGCGCACAACAGACAATATACTTGAATGTGAGACTGAGCTGCAAGAGCAATGTGAAAATATCCCTTCTGTTCCTGCCCAAGACTTTCTCCCCTTTCCCTGACTGCTGTTTTGAGTCAAGGAAGATACCATATAGAATCTTGCAACTCRCTCCTTTTCTCAGAAAATGAAGCAACCAAGCATTCAATCCACAGGCCCATTTAGGGCTGGGAAGAACAGGTTGAGCCTTTCAGGAACCAGCCAGGCTCTGGCACTCAACTCTCAAGCAGGGCACACTCCAAATTCATTTCCAGAAAGCAAAGACAGTGCAAGACAGAAAACAGTCTCCTAAACCTCACCAATACATTCCAGATCTGGCTTATTTAATTTAAGAAATTTGCTCTCCTACAGAAGTGTCAGAGGTCTGTATTATAGGAATCAAAATGCTACTAGAAAAATTACTGAGATAAGCAATATGTGTAAGTCAAATCACAAGATTCACTCCAGCATAGAAACACATTAACCAGCTATCAACCTCTTAAGGTGTATTCCAGACCTCTAGAAATAAGTAAATAAGTATTTCTTCCCTTCCCTTGTCAGATTAAAAAAAAAAAAAAAAATGAAATAACTAGATTCATGCTACTTCAATGAAATAATGAAACAGACATTCAAGCTGCAACACTGTTACATTGGAACCAATAACCAAACACATTTAACTACTCTTTGGAACTGACATTTCTTAGCTCAACAACACTATCYTGAAGCTATATGACATACCCAAAATATCACAGCACTACCTATACCTTGTTTAAAATAAGAATCTTGAATTTCCAAAAGCATTACAAATGTATTATAAACRGGCAAATGTACCTTGGTACTATCCGCTTGTATAAACTCTGCATCAAAAATATATTCATTATAGCGACATCGTCCTTTCATGTCCTCATACCGCTGCTTGCACTGCTGCACAGAAATGTCAGCAATATCTATTAAAAATAAATAAATAAATATGTAAACGTCTCCTCAAACAAGAAAATTGGAAAGATTGAGTACAGACAACACTCTAGGGCATGGACAGAAGTTATTTTCAGTTACACGCAGATAGGATGTTTCCATTACAAATTGCAAGAAAAAAAAATGAGACTGCTGAAATGCAAAATTTTTCGGATATACACAGATATATATATATATATTTTTTTAAGACTCTTTGCATCTCAGGCATTCCTTTCACTGAACATTGACAGTACACATAATTTCAAAACTATAACACAGCATTTTTTTATCTAACTCATGTTTATTTTTAGAACGGTAAAAACATTGCAAAAACCTAGACATGAGAGGGGAGACATGGCAAAGTACAAAGAGAGAACTGTTGGCAATTATGTTTCTTATACTAGTTTTTATCTGAATTGAAATGAATGCTGATTACAAAGAAAGAAAAAAATAAATCAGTTGTTCTTCCTGTATTTATGTTGGCAATAAAGTTGAGGCCTTTAGATTAAAAGAAAAAAAAAAAAACTTTACCACAAGAGGTATATCACTGTATTTTAGGGCTTATTAACAAAGGAAATAATAAAAGCCCTGGGACGTGCTTGCTTTTCCATAAAACACTGCTGTATTTTTCCTGGAAAGTTACTGCTTCTCCTTACCTGTACAGACAAGTTTTTTAATTCTGCCTTTTTTCCATTTAAGTAAGTCTCCACCTTTGCCACATCCTAGATCCAAAACAGTTATATCATTCTTCTTCTCTCGTACTCGGTCTATAAACTCACCTATAGAATTAAAAAGAGAATACTTTGTATTTGCCTCTGTAATTCATTTTATTGTACAGAGATCCATAAAGAGTGATATAGAGAACCCTAAAGGGTTAAACATTTTTAAAGTATCCCAGAATCCACTTTGTCAATAAACCCTCCCAGTATTAGACTTTTACCCCTCTTTCTACAGATCATTAATGAAAACAATAACTACACATTCCTAAAACTATAGAAAAGATCATGAATATTTTCTACACTTCACGCGCTTCTCACATAGTGTGACCTGAACTCTAAACTATTTTCCTGGCAGAGAAAGAAAGTCAAAACTTTACAGTCACTTAACAGCAACCTATGTGTCAATAGAGAGCAAGGATTCCCTTTCACTATCCTTATAAAAGGCAGATTTATCTAGATGTATGAGAATGCATTCTGCAGAGGAGAAAATGCCAAGGAAATGTGAGAAAAACAAGAGTAGGTGCAACTTTTTTCTTGTTGTGGCATTACTAATGTGTATGTATTCTCCATTGAGTCTTTCATGGGCCTTGCAATAACTAGGTATTTATTTAATGTCTTTTTACCCCACATACACTAATTTTATTTTCTCCTCCATCTCCATTCTCCATCAGTATTTCTGTTCTGATTGATTTCGGCATATATATTATGCAAAACATATCTGCATGTCAGCAACTTTCCTTCACAGTGAGAGACGTGAAATATGTCTCGATATAAGCACTACCATGCTACAGTATTGAAATTCATTATGACTAACAGGTTTCAACACAGACTCCTATATCTGCTCTGATACTACCCAACAAAAAGCAGCATGATAAGACAATTGGTGCCAACATGTCATGGCACAGTCAGCTCTTGCCCAGTCTATGGTGCTCTGCCAATAATTCTCTTCTTTGTTTGGAGACATCTGAGGGTTTTGTTTCCTCACTTTCAAATTTGATTTGTGGGACAGTAGACATTGTCTTTTATAAAAAGCTGCTACATTTGCTTCCTCAAGAACTAGATTTTCTACTTTTTAAACGTTTAACTATGAGCAACATAGAAAATATGTTCAAATTTTCTGCTTATCCTGGACCTGAAGTTAAACGGCCTCGGGAAAAAAGCTAAGAAATTATTTTGGATAGATGTAAATGACAAGAACAGCTCAGTCTGACACACGGAAATTCTTTAGAATTTAAAACAAGCCCCTTTCATCTTTGAAAAAAAAAGCAGAAAACTCAGTTTCCAATATGAACTTTCTCTGGTTTCTAGGTCAGTTGATTTTTACAACTTTATGATTTGTTTGGTACTCCTGCAAGAGCAAGACACTATCAAAAAGACACAACATAAAAGATTATTTCACTTGAAGATCTTAGTGTATTAATACACATGCAGAAAGTGCCATAACCAGCATCAAAAAGTAGAACACAGTTACATTTTTGCATAAAGACTAGCTATGTTTTCTTAAAATCTAATGCAATCTGTTAAGGGATCTTACCAATGAGGACACTCTTTGTCCAATTATTAAAGTTGCGGAGGTAGAATATGCGACTTTGGCTGCGTTTTTCTAATCCAACTTCTTGAAGTTCATTGTAGTGGGCAGCTACAGCTTGTCCATGGCCTATCTCACGCTGTAGGAATGAGGAAGGGAATAGACTAAAACAGTGATTTCTTGTTATTTTTTTCCCACTTACTCAAAAGAAACATCTTCACCTTAAAGACTTAAGAAAGTAAACAAGTAATGACATAAAGATGACCAACTTTATTTGCATACACATATCTCCCCTATCTCCTCTGGTACTAACCTCACTATTTTAATTACAGAAGAGAGAACACCTTTGAAAATGAATTTCATTTTCTATTGGTTCAAGTAATTTCTTAAACATGATGTCCATCATCATTCATTCATAGCAATATTTAAGGGCTTAAATATTACTCCCATGACTCATCACATGATCAGCTTTGTTGATCCAAAGTCATGGATTTAAGAGGAGGATATAGTCTTCTCTAGGAACTTGTTCAGGCTATACTTTCTCAAAAACCTTGTCTCTGAAATGCAGTATTTACATCTAGCAGATGTATACATGGTGCTAATTTATCTAAAATGCCAACAGGCTTATTTTGTATATTCAAAACCATTAAGTGATAACACTGCTAAAGCTCTGAACACAGCATTTTTAACTCCAGAATCTGACAACTTTCTCTCCCTTACCACAGTAAGCAATAGCTTGATGACAGTACTCCATCAACATTCAACAGCTAGCTGTAGAAATATCCCCATTTAAGTAATAACGTAGTCAGTTCAAGAAATTTCTGCCCCATATGATATAGAAAAGCATTCTGTACATGGTTATTACCCTCTCAAGATCTTCTCTCCATTTAAGTAATTGTAAGCTTTATGCATTGCATGAAATAAAAGTAAATCATGCAAAAAAACACAAAGTAACAGAAAACAGAGGACTAACAAAATTGTACCAGGTGGTCTAAAGCATCTGAAATAACAGTATAAACAATAATGAAGGATTCACATCAGTCAAAATTTACCAACATCCCAGATAGGTCTACCCAGTATGAGTTCACACAATTAAACACTCTTCTCAAGAATAATCTACTATGGAAGTCAATATCCAGACATCTTATCATTAACGTAAGAGTTTCTTGAGAGAAAAGAAGGTTTGCCTGATTTTAATAACTGCATTAATTCTCTGGTGTGTTGGATAATTTTGGTAACATACAGAATGTACACAGGCACACTTCTCTGGAATAGCTATGACCCTCCGGCTATCTAGTGCTGCTTTCACAGCTGAATGATAGCAATGAGTATTTTGATCATTTCTAGTCTTTTAGCATAAGCACAGACAGGTCCTTGAATGGCCAATGAAGATGACATTGGCTAGAAGAGCTGACTTTGACAAGCATGGGAGGCGTTCACACAATCCTTGAACGCATCTCAGCTGTTTCAAGCGCAGTTGCAAAAAGTCATCTGCAACAATATCTAGGCCGCTGGCAGCTACATTCAATATAATCATTTCTCTACACTCTTTAACTATACCCCCAAAAATGTTTATCTTCCAAACCTAATCCCCAAACTGCTCTTTCTAATAAAGATGCAAGGTTTAATAATGCTGACATCAAAACAAAGAGCACTCTTTATTTAATCAGATTATGTGTCCATGAATTAACATCCAGGAAAAAAAATGAACAGGGAAAGAAAGCTTAAGATCAAGAATCTTTTCAAATTATACCTAAACATGCCAAAAAGTCAACGTTAGATTGTACATTACCTATGCACTCGCAACAATCCATGTTACAGTGTTTTGCTTAAGACTATTTCTCATTATTCCTCTTTTTCACTCTCCCAGTTAGAAATATTTTTTGCTGTTCTCTCACACAGTTTTAACAAAATAAAATACAGGTACCTGTAAAGCCTTCAATCCTTCATCTTCCTAACAAATTATACCAAAATTCTACCACAGAAGATGCAGTTTTCTACACTACATCTTATCTAGGGGATTAAAGACAAAATAAGGAAGAATCTTCTATGGTGCTAAGAATCTAACTACATTAATACACAGTATGACTCAAAATACGAGACATACTAATTCATGATACGTGACTTGGATGCCACCAAACTGATACCACATAGAGGACAAAACAGTAATCTTAGACTTCATTTCCATCCCCAGCATGTCCTAAGATCAAACTTTTTACATATTCTAATTACTACCACATTTCCTCTTTTGTGGAGTCCAACATAACTTCTGCATCTGTTATCTCCTTTGGAAGCTATCCACAGAATTAATTCCGACATGTGGTGGTTCACAGTGGTTTACACAAGCTTAGTACAAACATTTTCCATCTTTTCGTGGGCCAAGGCTTTGAAACAATAATTTGAATATRAGTCAAAAGAAATTATACTCACTATTTTCCCTGGAGTGTCATCCTCAGTATCTAATTTCCTCTTTTTTGCTGTGTTGTCCTGCTTATCAGCAGCAATTTCTTGTTCATTTTCAGTAGAATGCCCTGTGCCTGAAGTTGAGCCCTTGTCTTCCAAATTGATACCTGAATCTTCCTCTGAAGTTTGAGACTTTTTCTCTGCTTCTTCAGACAAGCTCTTCCCAGGTTCTTGCTCCTCTATTTTAGTTAAATCAGTCATTTTTGAGATGTTAATCTCATTCGTTGATCAGAACAGAAACCTTAGAAGAAAAAAAAAATACTGTTATCATTGTTTAATTTAGCTTAGTCTCAGTTACTGTAACAATTTTTAATCATAATAATACTGTTTCAAAAAAAAAAAAAGATAAGCCTTTGGCATGGAAAATAGAACACACAGACTTCAAATTTAATACAGACAGCCAAATAAAACTGGATTTAATGCATGTTTTTAAAACCATGGAATTTTAAAGTACTCTTGTGTAATAAGGGTAATGGAAACATTGTTCATCTCTGAATCTCGTGGCTTTATTTATTTATTCAGCTGCAAAGCTTTTGGTCTTTTTGAGGTTGCAATCTCTCTCCTTTTTGTGCTCCCCTATGTAACCTATGGATCACCTTCTGCTTAGAAGCCCAATCTAATAAAATGCTTTGAGTTCATCTTTTAACCAGGTATGTTGTCAGAGGGATGCCCTAAAACAAACAAATTATATATATACATATTTAATTGCAAGTATTCATATCTATTCTGGATTTTCAAGTTTACCAAATACAATCACTTTGTCTCAAGCTTCAGTAACATCAAGATTCTTTAGTTAYAATTACATTTTTGTATCTCTACTTTATATACGTACATCCTATATGGCAACACAGTATAAAGCTCATTTAGGCCCTAATCCAGCCTGGTTTTCTACCATAATGAGGAAGCAGGGCACCCGCTTCTCAGCGGRGCACGGGAGGAGCAATTTGGCAACTGCACTGGCCGAGCAGTAGCCTATTTCAGTCTAACGAAGGACATGAGCACTTGACTACCTTCCAGTCTTTGCCTCCCAGCGAGGGACACAAGAAACCAAACAGCTCACAAACGAGGCCCTGAACGGCCTTCCTCACAGCGCACCACTCTAAGTGCAATTCACACAAATATCCTCTTCGTTATAAAGGCTGTGTCAATTTTTAACACGCTCTCCGAGAAGCACGCCCTTCAAAACCAAGCTAAAATGAACTATAAACACCGAGCGAAGCCGCTAGGAAGCCCAAAGCCGGCAGCGCCGCGGGGCTGCCCCGGGCGCCCTCGCGAGAGCGGCCTCAGTGCGGGAAACTCCCCCTCGCACCGGGGGGAAGGGGGGCCCCGAGGAGGCCCTCGCGGGGCCGTTAACGGACGCTCCCGGCGCGCCCAGCGGAAGCGCTGCGACGTCACACCGCAAGTTCCGGCGGCCCCGCCCCCCCAGGGCCGCGCGGCGGAGCCGGGGCGTTGGAGGACGGGCCCGCGCCGGCCTCCCCCGCGCCGATGCCGCCGCCGC